ATATATATATATATATATATATATATATTAAATTAATTAATATTAAATATATGAGACCGCTACAGAAGACGTTTTAATGGAACCTTCCCCACCTATCTTGAACTTCAATTAAACTTCTCCCAAGGGTTGGCTAAATAGTAAATTTGTCATGACAGCACTAAGCATTTTTTCTGCCAGGTTACCGATCATTGTCTTCGACGTGTTTCCTTCACGCCCATTGACTGGAAATGCACGTGTGATAAGGCACTAAGTTTATACATTTATCATGTTTCACTTCCCATCATTTCCTCAGTGAAAAATATTGTATGTAAAGAATTTTCAACACACAGACCATCAACGCAGCAATATTTAGGGCATGTTATTTTGATATCATGACACTCCATGTATACTTCATACTGTTTCCTGTCCACGACTATAAGTTTACTTCTTAATTGGCTAGGACCCAGAATACAGTATCCAATATTTGAATCACAAAACTGAAGGAAGGTGTTCTTTTTTATCGTCCAGGATGTAAATGGGTGTCTCAAAACACAGTTTAACGTGACTGATGCAGATGGCTCGTCTTGCAAAAACTGTCCAAAATGTCCTCCAGGGGAAGAACTTTCACATGTGTGGAACAAGCATACCACCAAATGCCATGTTAATATGCGTCCGCAGCAAACCAGGAGTCTCGTTTTCGAGCAGTTGTGATACCTCTACCTGTACTCCTTGTTCGCCAAGCTGCTTAGAGGACCAAGTAGTACTTGAGTGCTGTGCACCTACTGGAAATATCAGATGGAGCAAACAGTGTAACAGTAAACGCAAGTATATTTCCTCTTTTTCTGGCAATGCCATCACTCTTTTGCTTTTTTGAAGTGTTGATGTGTTTGATCGTAATATTTTCATCAGCACTGATAATGCTTTATTCAAATCTGCACAGTTTGGACCATCCCTACTGTAATGACCGTTTTCGGTTTATGTCCATTTCTGGTCATGTGACGTGTCGCGCGCTACTGTAGCGATTTGCATCATACACGTAAAATGGTATGTTTTTGGTGTTTCGAGTCGACATTACAGGTTGTTTTAACGCACCTTTTGGCTAGTTTATTAACTCAACACCTACCAATCTTTATACCTTACATTACGTGGTATCAAACAAATGGCTAATCATTGGTGAATAAGTTATGCAAATATTTTCCACTCCATTAGGTTTCCAAAGCAACACTACAACCCATAATAACCAACCCTAATTCAAGCTTAGAGCTTATTTGAAAAGGAAAACCCTGCAGTCGGTAAAACTGAACCCATCATTCCTCTTGGCATACATAACAACAAACCACAGCAGTGGTCCCTCAACACATTATACTGAAAAAAGGGAAAAGGACCGCAAAACAAAACTGAAACTATCTGTTGGTAGAATGTGTCATAAACCTCATGAAGACAATTTTAATTTCAAAATTGTTGAAAGTGGTAAAAGAATTCAATTATCATAGGGGGTTGGGCTGTACCTCAACAAGCCCAGGCCAGTTATCTTTTGCTGTGTGTTTAACTGTAGGAGGGGTGGTTACAAATGCTATTGCAAGTTTAAAGAAGTAGTATTTTTGAATGTGCTAATAATTACACTAGTTGTATTGTTTGAAGTACTAGTGTAGGTGGGAAGTGTTAGATGGAAGCTCCCTGCAGGTTACACGTATTTATATAATTATTTGTAGGGCTTTATGGATGATCAATATATTTAATATGTCTTGATAGGTATTACGACCACACATCACGATCTGTGGATTGCCTAGCCTGTTCAACTGTTGAGGCGATGACAGGGATGTGGTAATGCATGAATGCAAAAAGAAATTGGGAGCAGCCTCCAACACGATCTGTTCCTTTCACAGCAGCGGTCACCGCTGTGACACAACCACAGCATCTGTTCATGATCAACGTGGCACCGCAGTCCCAACCAGTCCAATCAATTCCTTGGCGACTCCAAGTGACACCATTCATTTCATACATTTTATCCGTGAAGAGGATCCCACATCCACCTACCCAAAAATTTCCACACATTCGGAAGGAAGGATTCCCCTTTCTCGAAGCAGGCTCAAAAGATACCTACGTTCTTGGGGGAGTATTAGGGGGTGTTCTATTAGCCCTGTAATTTGGTTCTGACACTTACTTCCTTCGCACTAGGAAAAGATGCAGTTTCTCAAGATGTAATGGGGCATAGAAACAGGATGCCATCATCCAGCAGCGCCGGATTTCTAGCAAACTACGTTTGGGAGTTGTGTCTTTTAAAATCAAAATGTTAATTCCATTCCTTTCCTTCAAAGTTATAGCGTTTGCAAAGTCAGGAAATTTTACACACCTTTGGATACCTCAGCGTACCATCATGTGCAAAATTTCCAGACTTTGTGGAGCCATTTTTATTATTTTACAAGATAATCTGTACCATACATTTTTAATATGTTTGGCCGGGCTGAAGAGTATAATTCGTTATACGAGGGACTTTGTTATGTAGAGGTTCATTAAATCAAGATTTCAGGAGCTTCTCATCGGCTTGAAGCATAATTTATAACAAGTCATCTATCTAAAGTTGGGTGTGGCTCCACTTGTGCTTGAAAATAATCATGCTGATTGCAGCTTCCTATTTCTCAGAATGAGGTTACGATGCCTGTGAAATTACTGACAATATTATGGAAGTGATATAATTTATTTACACATTACCATATACAGCCTGTATATCATGCTATTCCTTGTAGGTTGTGATTTTTACAGTCATATAACACCATACTGTAGAGAGTCTTGTAAGAATTGAAGCCACTTTTCTTGCTTGACAATTTTTCAAGTCCCATATCAACATTACAATTTTCTTTCTTAGTCCCAAACTTGCAAAATCAATTTTAGTTTCTCTTGAATTCTTGTCAACTCTACATCTAATAACACTTAGACATCTCATTGTGATTAGGAATACTTGCCATCTACTTGCTGTTATTTAAATTAATTAATTAAACGACTGCAAAACATGATTTTTGAGCTTGATAGTTGAGTGCGTCAGTTTGTTATCAGAAATGTCCCTGATGATTCATACTCTAAGCTGAGTTTCTACCTTTTTAATTGATCCTGACTGATTATTTTTGCCTTGTATGTATCAAACTTGCTCTAACTCCTTGGTGCATATGTACATCTTAAAAGGCTACCCTGTTAGAATGGAGGTACAATGTACATGTGTCCCCGAGTTTCAAACTGACTGCTTTTGGGTAAAAATTTTGATGTAATTCACCATCGACTTATACGCCTCTGTTTGCTTTAGTTCTTCCTCAGTTAGGCCTTCCTCCTCTTCACTTTCCTCTGAATCCTGATTGGAAAAAAAATCAGATATCAGCAAATGAAAATACAGTACAGCCCTGCAACAAAGTACCTGGATTTTTCCAAGATAGCCTAAGCAGGTTCCTATATAAATTGTATTTAGCACAAGTTCAGGCTATTGACCACTCCATAAACTTAGAGGAATCTGGGTATGAAATTGATTCATAGGGGCTTATGGGATCGTTTGAACAGGGTGGAAGAAAAAAATGGCGCCTGCAAGGAAGTGTTGCGTGATTTATTTGTCTTGTGTCCACGTAAACATGCCGAAACCCGCGAATTGCTGTGTACCCTGCTGCCCTAATAATTTTCAGAACAATCCTGAACTCAAGTAGTATCAAATTCCCAAAGAAATGAGGATAAGACAGCACAAGATCTTGATTGGTAATGCAATACTGAAACTGAAGTCTGTCAACACTCGTATTTGTGCAAATCACTTTGAAGGTGGAACTAAGAGAAGTAGGCATGATTTACCGTCGAAGCGAGCTATCACAGACCGACGATAAACTGGCCTGAACTGAGCAGGGTACTGCAACATTTTGGAGTGAGGACGAACGAGAAAAGGAGGAAGCTACACAAACCGAATTTCTAGAGCATGCAAAGGTGGAGTTTGGCACACAAACAGAATTGTTTAACCTTAGATTTGACATTGAACGGTTTCAAGAAAAGGCCTCAGATGTTGCTTTTTATACAAGATTTCCCAACTCTAAAACGTTAATGCTTTGTTATGATTTGGTAAAGGATTCAGCTCAGAACATTAGCTATGGTGGCTATGAGAGGAATTTTGGTTGCCCAGCCCTTTTGCAGCCGACAAGACCAAGAGCCCTTACAACACCCCAGGAATTTATTCTTGTGCTAATGCAACTACGACTTGGTCTGTTTGAAAAGGATTTGGCTCAGAGGTTCAGAATTGCAGAGTCGACAATCTCCATCATAATTTTTTCAACCATCGATTCGGTTTCTACGACTTGAATTACAGGTGGAACTGGTTGTTGTTCAACCAAGGGATGTACAGCTGTACTACAAGAACATGTGCCAACACTTTTCAAAGAACTTTATCCCAACACAGTTTTAATTATCGACTGTACGGAGGTGCAGATGGAAAGGCCCTCAGCTCTGGATAATCAGTCTTCCTGTTACTCATCCTACAAGTCAAGGCGAACCATGAAAGTCCTTGTCAGAATCACTCCAAGTGGTGTCATTGGATTTGTCGATGAACTTTATCCTGGCAGCATCACAGACAAGGAAATCAGTTAGAGCGTGGTGATGAAGTAATGACTGATAACGGTTTTCTTATCCAAGATGAGCTTGCAGCCATTGGTGCAACCCTTACAATTCCAGCTCTTTTAACAGGAAAAAAAAAGCAGTTTTCGAGAGAAGCAGAGAAAAACAAAAAAAGCTGCTAGCTTAAGGGTTCACGTTGAAAGATGAACGGAACAAATTCAAAATTGGCATATCCTGTCCAGACAGACCAAATACCGTCTCTCCTTCAGGCTTAGCTTCTGACATTTTTATAGCCTGAATCTCAGCCGCCTCCTCCGCTCGCTAAGTCACTCGGGGAGAGAGACGTAATGCAATTTTAATTTAGGCCTTCATTTATACAGCGGTTGTCAATCACACGCGACCTTCAGGGCAAAAGCGTCTAGACAAAACCTAAGTTTTAGGGGACGTCAATTATCTCCGCCTCCTTACCGACTGTATACAAAATTTACAAAAAAAGTCTCAAACCTTGCAGCGGTTCACCCGTAAAAATTATCATTTTACTTTAGTATGCTCGGCTACCTCACTAAATACTTGAAATTTGTAACTGAAGACGGGCGGATCGGGTTTCCCAACAGCCATTCGCATGCATGAATGACCCCGAAATCAAGCAAATCTACACGCGAACTAAATTATTTCATTTATAGATTTCAAGGAATGTTTGATGCCAATGTAGTGAGCTAGCCGTACATACCGAAAGTAAAATGATAATTCTTCCGAGTGGACTGCTGCAAGGTTTCAGACTTTTTTTTCAGGTAAATTTTGCATACAGTCGGCAAGGAGGCGGAGATGATTGACGTGCACTACTTTTTAGGTTTTGTTGAGTCGTTTTTGCGCTGAAGGTCGCGTGTGATTGATAACTGATAACCACTGTAAAGCACTGACGAAATAATAACTATACTTTCGTTTGGAAAACGGCTGTGCTGCTTTGAAAGTTCAATTGCCACGAGTGGAGCCATCTGATATATTAAGGACCTTCCATATCCCGTAGGCAAGTTT